CAGCCCCAGCCTGCAGCCCACCCTCACCCCATGCGCAGATCCCAGACACACAGGCTCCATGTCCTCCCGGGGTGTGTGCCACATCTGGATCTGCCAACCCCCCCCATACCAGGCGCCACCTGGTCAAGCTGCTCCTGGCTCTGTCCCGCACCCTGCCCTGGCTGTGCAGCCCCGGCCCCACTCCCTCCCTCATTGCTGTGGGGGAGGTGGGGCAGATCGAGGCCACAGCAGTGAGGGAGGGAGGGAGCGCGGGGCACAGGCAGGAGCAGGGGCTGGGGTGAGTGGGTCCTGGTTGTGCCCTGTTCCCTCCCTTGCCGTTGGGGCTTCAATCTGCCCCCCGCCCCTTCCCACACAAGCCGATCTGCTCAGGGGCAGGGGGATGTACACATGCACTTTGCCCCCCAAATAATTTTTTCTCCTTCTGCCTATGGTGGCACCCCACTGTGCTTGGGGTTTCTGGATGTTTTTTTTTTTCCCCTCCCCCACTGTTGTTATTTTTTCTTCAGCCTGGGAGAAGTCCTTTAGGGTGTCAGCATTTTACATGGAGCTTGGGTAATATTACCCTGAAAGATGGAAATGGCTGCTATCAAGCAGTTATTTTTACTTGTGGAAATTAGAGGTGATTTAAAGGTGAGGAGTCTGCTAGTCAGATGCAGTAACTCCGTTCCTTATGTTCACCAATATCAATAGGGAAAAATTGTTGATGCTTAGAATGTCCCTAAATATTTTAGAGTTGATTGAATGTAGTGCAGAGAAGTTGTTCTGTTGCATCTAGACAGAAATGTCATTACAGCTGGCAAACTTGGCCAGCTGTTGGTTCTAGAAAAAGACTTGGATTGTACTTATAGGCTGCTGTGTTCAAAGTAGTGAAAAAAAGTTCTAGAACATAGTTGAGTGGGACAGACAATATGGAAAATATTATAATTTAATTCTTTAGATCAGTGGTGTGCCCTCCACTTGGATATGTCTGATTTCCCAATCTTAAAAAAGTTAAAAGAACAATAAAAAATAGTAGGTGCATGTAAAAATCTTTTTGTGAAGATAGCTTGAGAAGTCTGAGGCTATGTAAGTAACACAAATTAAAAGGAACACAATTAAAATATACAAAATAAATGACAAGTAGTTTAGAAAAATAGGGGGAACAGAATTTCTCTTTCTCCTGAAAGAATAAGTGTACACTCAAGTGTTTTGTGTGACATTGGAAAGCACATCTACCCTGCCTTCTGACTAACTTCAGACTAACATGGCATACCTCTGCAAATTGGAAAGTGTCATTGAAAGTTTATAAAATGCTTAGATCTCTTCAGAACAAAATTGGGCCCTGGAGTTTAACAGACTTTTTTTTTGCTTGTTGCTTCCAGATGACAATAGCCAGATTTATAGTAGTAAACACTTAAAAGTAAGTTTTGAAATTAATCTAAACTTTTGTGCTTTGTCACTTAGGTCAGTTTTTAACTCCTGAGAAGCTGTATTTTTGGGAGGGAATGGAATGTGTTGATTAATGGAGTATATTCCCAGAGGGAGTTCATGTCCCAAAGGGAAAATTCCTGATCGGGCAGAAAAAATGCTTAATGGGAAAAAGAATACCGCAAAGGGTTAAAAAAAACCCCAAGATAGTCCTCTGTTTTTGACAAGTAATTCACTATTTGCTATTGGAGTTAATGAACATTGTGTTTCATCTATATCAGCTACCCATTACATTCAGCGAACATATTATGAATGACAGGTATTTTAATGAGGTAAAACTGTTTGAAGAACTCTTTCTTGCAATTCTGAATTGTTACTGTTTTATACCAGCTGGGCCTGTTCCCTATTCTGTAGCTGTACTTAAGCTTCATCCCTATAATTGTAAAATACGCTGATTTCACTTGGGGTGGGGCAGGAAAATCTGGTGATTGCTCTCTCTTTTCTTCCCTTTGTTCTGTCATTTTTTTTATTTTATGCAGAGGTCTACTTCAGGTGACTGAAGTTGAGATTAATATGAGAAAAAAAGCTTAAAATAAAAAGGAAGACATCAAAATGTTTTAGTAAATTGATGTGGCAGCCTTGCATGGTAACTTGATATGCTGTGATGACAGGTTTCTGGGTGACATTGCGAACTGGGTAGGGTTTTTTACTTTCTTGTTGGCATGGTTCTTTGGCATCAAGTTGTCTTAGAAATTTGATTTCACTTAACTACTGTTTTAAAAATTTTGTGCACATGCTTATTGTTTGAAACACCATAAACGCATCTAAATTTAACTGAAATAGCCTTCTAAATCATGTCCTAAGGCTGATATTTGGTCTCAAACCAAACATTAGGAAAATTACAGTTGCTTTTATGTTTAGTATTTACTGATGCTTCTGTAAGCAGCTTCATTTACTGCTGAAATACATTTGTTTATTTTTCTTTGGGAAGAAGATAGACAAAGATTGGTTCTTTCATTAGCTATGAAAGTAACAATAGATTTTGATCAAAAAAAGTATACAGAGAAATATTTTAATAATAGAAAATAATCATGTCAGTGTTAATTATTATCAGGTCTTACTTGGCTTTCCAAAGGACGTGGTGTGTTCAATATGTATGAGCCAGGGGACGGAGCCTCTGAATTGGTAGTTGGTAGTTATGAACAATCAACATCACTAGGGGAGCTGTTATCTTCCTCCCAAAGAAAAATAAAAAATTGTATTTGTATAGTCTAGGGACAGAAATTACACATGAACTGGTATAAGCGATCAGAAACCAGTTCAAATCTGCAACACATCAGAAGTTCAGTGCATGTAAACTGTTTCAAAATGGCTGAAACCAGTTTAAGATAAACCTGTATGGTTGTAGACTTAGGTTAAATTGGTTTATTGATCTTTTGTCTTGGATCCCTTCCAGATTCAATTTAACTCTGAGTTTCCCAGCATCCCAGGATGCTTTGCATCTCCCCACAAACTCTTCTTCACAGGATGAGTATAGTCTTTACCCAAGCTGTCTGCTCCAGCTGAGCTTGGAGGTATACTTTGGTGAACAGCACACCAGTGGCTTGCCATTCTCTTCTTCCTCCTCCTCTTGCTGCCGTCGGGGTTGATAAATGCTCCCACTAGCCATGTCATGGTACTGGCTCTTCTGCCTGGTCTGGCAAGGCTGACCGCTCCATTTTTACCTGGCCTGGGAGTTTTGCACCATGCCACCCCGCTGGCTTCCTCTCAGCAATGTTACCTGTCTCCGGAGCCCGGCATGCGTGTGGACAGCATGCTGGCAGCTTGCTGTGACAAGGCAGTGGCTTCTCATCCTTCTCCTTCTGCCTGCCCCCATAGCTGCTGCCAGGGTTGTCAAATGCTCCCAACAGCCATGGCATGGTGCAATGCTCCTGGGCTGGGCAGTTATGGAGCTGTCAGCACCTTGCTGGGTTGGGCAGTGCAGCAGACCCAGTGCCCCCCCTCCCTCCCCTACCCAGCACCCTTTGCATCCTTGGCACCACCTCATGCAGCTTTCTTCTTTCTCTGTGCTGGGCCATGCTTTGCCCACCCCACAGCGGTATCCTGGTACACCGGCTCCAGCTTTTCATGCCTTGCCACCTGACTCTCCCTGCCTGCTCTGATCCACTTCAAGATGTCACCATCTTCAGCTATGTTCAGAAACACCATGTGGGGGTGGGGCCACTGCATGCTGGGATAGTGGAGGACTTGAGTGGCACAACTGTGGGGAGTGGCTACCCTTAATGGAATAGGAGCAAGGTTATGAGGTTGGGAGATGATCCTGCCCTGGAATGGCATAACTTTTAAGCGGTATAACGAGTGCTTTAAACCACCTAAAGGCGTTAACATGCGGCTAGTCTAGGAGTTAAGAGCTCTAGGAGCAGTTTAAAATTACCATGTATCAAGGGTGAGGGAACTATGAGATAAAGATCTTCTTTGTTTAGGAAGGAAACTAGTTGCTTAAAAATGTATAAATAGTGCATTTCCAACAACATATAAACAAGCAAGGAGGTGGGAATAAAGACTTCCTGTATATTTTAGGTAGTGATCTCTTCCTTATTAATTCACACCCCCATTCCTGTTTTATATAGTTACCTCTGTGTTACTAATCTGTAGAGGGCCCCAAATGATATGAGAACCCCACTGTGTAAACACACAGTAAGAGGCTGCATCTACCTTGATTTATTTTATTAATCTATGTTGTCCTTCCCAAAAATGGCTCATGGTATCTTACAGTGAGAGACAAAAACAGAATATTAAAATGAGGATGTATAACAAACTAAACGCCCCCCTTCTCCCTGTGAAACCCCCATCAAATTCAAAGGAAATCCACTCCACCACACCCACTCTAGCTTCCCTGCTTCTAGAGAGTGCCCCTCACTTTTCAGTCAACATTTGCTACCTCTGTAAAGGGAGACCTCATTTTTTTTTTTCCTTCCTGTCTTCACCCACTCTCACTCATTCTTCCACCTCACATTCAAGGGAGTCCCATTTTCCTTAATGCCCCTCCTGAGTGCAGTTGATGAGCTTAACACCTCAGACATAGCAAGCGAAGAAGTTGATGTACAACGATGAAGTGACTTGTCTGGGAGTTATGCAGGCGATTAGTGGCAATGCTAGGACTGAATGAGGTATTGACTCCTAGTACATGGTGTCCTGTCCAGTGTAACACACTGTCTTTATAGTGGAACAAGAAGTGTTTCAAAACGTACGAAAGTGACCTTTATTACTGTGCACCCATTCTCTGTTTCTTCTCTGTTACTTTCACTTGCTGTAACATCATTTGGATCATAAGCTGTTTGGGGCAAGAACTCTACATGTTTCTGCAGTGTGCTCATCCCACTTCTGGGTGTTGTAAAACAAGTAATTTACTACTTTTGTTGGGTGGTTATGCTATCAGTTTGACGTTAGGAGGTACTTTTAGAAAGTGCTGTGGGCATCTTTATGTGGCTGTCTCGCTTCTTGTGTCAATTAGCTTTAAAATGTTACAGGATTAGGTTTCAGCTGATCGGTAATACAACCTAAGAAGCTATAATTAATATGTTACTCACAGAGCTAGGTAGATGCTATTAACTCCTTCTATGGTGTCCTCATTAGCCATAATTTACACTTCTTGAAAGACTTGGAGACTTTAAAAAATATATCTAAAATGATGTTGAAATAAGCACTGCTTGAAGTTATTTTAATGAAAAGGAACAGGATATTTCAGTGTGTGTTTACTGATTTTTATCTGAACATTTGGCTTGCAGTTTATAAGCATGTTTAAAATTGTACACTTTTTAGCTGTTAGCATGGACACCCTGTAACTCCCTTTCCCTCCCTCCTCCCCACCCCCGGTCAGTCTGTCCATCTGCCTCTGTGTTCCCAAATGTTCCCTCAACTTACCCATCTAGATCTTGTCTGAATGTTTTTGATATTCTGTCTTTGTATGTGAATGACCAAACCCATTGCAACCAACTTTCTAGCCTCATTTGTTTCATTGATGAGGACTTAGTCTTATGTGGTTCACAATGAGCCATGTGAGTCATTGCCATCTCTGCCCCAGCAATTTAATTAAAATAACAGTAAATATTTTTCTCTTAGTGCTGTCTACATCTAATAAGCATATCACTTACTACAGATCCTTTTGTGCAGAAATTGCTCTGGTTTTGACAGTGCCAAGTACGCCAATATGTATGTCTATGTATGTAAATGTCTAATTTACTTGAGAAAGAAGGAATTACTTGGAAAAGAAGTATTTAAATTCCCAAGATGCCTACAATGAGAAATGTTGTGTATATGAAATTGGTTTTGTTTTGCTCTGTGTGTATAGCTTTGTTTCAAGTACTGAAAGTTAGGACTGGGCGATCATCAATCCATGTACTTTCGAAACTCTAGCAGCAATAATTCAAAAAAGCTCATTAGATTAGCCCAAACCTGAAGCTATGAGGACTCGAAGGAAATGGCTTTATCACCATATAAACTTGGTACATGTGGAAAATGTAGATAACATTTTGTATTCAGAGTAGAAGTTTGCTAAGATAGACATTTTGGTATTGTCACATGTGATAGACATCATGAAACTGTGGTTGAATTAGTCATAATCAATAGAATACTGATCTGCCCACACTTCTGACAAATGCATGTAGTGCTGAAATGCCTCCCGTTGTCTTGGCACTGGTCATCTTAGAAGCTTTGATTAAACTTTATCTCTGGTTTGCTACAGAATGTCGTAGATGATGGGCAGAGTTAATTTGCACTCCATCTGTTGATGAGAGCTCTATCTCAATGACTCCCTCATGGAAGAATTCAAGGGTGTGGACAGACTAACACTGAACTGTTCCAAGAATGTCACTGAATGGGGACCAGTTCACAACTGTCCTAGTTTAAACACATCTGCATGTATGCTGCCAAGGGTTCTAAGTAGAACAGTCATCTAGGCATTGCAGTGCTGTCAAACCACCACCAGGGGTTGGTAGTGAATACCCAGCCCAGAATGCCTCTCAGCAGCAAATGCCCCAGTTTCTCCAATATCTCTTGAGCACTGGAGGAAGACCCATGTTGCTTGGACATCAAGCAAGAGAAAGAGAACAATGTCAGTTGCCTGCAATTGCAATTTTCTGATTTCCCCCCCCGCCCCCACCCCCAACACTGAGTTCAATAAAGACCATTCCTGCACTTTATGAAAATCTGCAAGGCAGTACCCTCTAAGCAGCTTATCAGTTTCATTCCAATTGTGGCAACTGACCAGCTTTGGGGCATCAAGAGACTGATTTGAGGTGAGGGGGCATGGTAGCCAAGAGGGTAGAAGGGGTATCCCAGCTTCTGGATTCTAGGGGTGCTGAATGCTTGGGCAGGGCAGGTGCCCAGGTCCTCCATATCAGTTGCCAGGAATGGAATGGTATTTGACTAGTGGCTTGTGGAAAAGTGCTGTTTAAAAGTGGCAGAGACCTTGGGCCATGATTACCAATTGTCTGTAAATTTATAGACAGTCTGTAGAAAAATGCTTGTCTGTGGATTTTTTTTTTAAATGGACCATCCATAAAAAAATCTTAAGAAAGTGAGCTTGATTGAAGATCTGTCAGAATGAGGCTAGATGCAAGTGCTGATGGACAGATAGCAGAACAGTGCCACTTTGTGTCTAAGCAGGTGTAAAACCATTGGTGCTATCAAGTAAAAACGTTAAGCGTTAAACCCCTAAATTGAACCTTGCCTTTGATAGTGCTGGCCAGGGCCTGACAGAATGGTTGCATTTTACATTATGTAAGCTATATCCATAAATAAGAGTTTGGTTGTCAGTTTGTACACAGCTGTTAAAAAAAAATAAAAATCTTGGGTTGGTAACCCTGCCCTGGGCAGCCCCCTCTTCCCCCCCGCAACCCCCAGGAATGCAGATGCAGGCGTACTCTCTCTGCCACCTAGCTGTTTCCCCAGCACCCCTCTCCTCTCCCTCCCCCCGCCTCAGCCTAAATCAGCTGGGATGCCCCGAAGCCTGGTCAGTTGCCACCAATGGAATGAAGCTGTTCAAACAGCTTGGGGAAAAAGTACAGAGACATTGGGTAGCCTTCCACGGCACACAGCAACCCTGGAACCCAGAACCTCTCTATGCACCTACCCCCCACCCTCCCAAATTTATCTTGGAGCAATGCACACTGGGTCAAGTACAAGCCATATGCCTTGGATCAATAGAGTTCTGCTGCATATTCGTGTAGCCAGTTGTCAGGCAGCAACATGAGGTATGGTGAGGATGAGGAGGGGTGCAGTGTGGGGATGCATGGAGGACTGACCAGATACTAAGTCACAAAAAGCTTGGTGTCCACACATAGCAATGAACCAGTTCAAGGAGGACTGGTTCTAGGAAGACCAGTTCAAAATAATACCTGTTTATCCAGGTGTACTTTTGAAATGTTCCAGAAAGTTTAAGTCTTTCTAAATCAACTGGTATATGCAGAGGCTTGTGATTTAAATAACATTTAAAATAGTTTAAGTGTTAAGTCTGTCTGCATCCCTAAAGAACCATAGGCTGCCTATACATGTGCTGTGATGCATTCTAATTAGAACATATTGGAGCAGACTCGATTAGTCAATTAATTAGAATAGACTCAATTAATTGGAACACTCTGGAGTGCTGCAGTCATGTGTATTCACCATCCCATGTTTCAAAATGGCAGTGGGGGCTTTAGTTAAAGTGTTTCTGTGGCCATTTTGAAATGCAGGATGCTGAATACATGTGACACTGTGGCATTTTAAGTAGAGCAGCTGTCCAGGAGCCACTCTAATTAAAACACCCCCTCCCACCCTGGAGCACATGTATAGACACCCATAATTTCCAAGTTAGCAGTGGCCTAGTCTCCTTCACCAACTGCAGCTTGTCAAGAGGCTGTGACTTTTCTTTTCTCATGAGGGCTTTGCAGTGGTCATCTAGGCCAGACGAAGATCTATTTGGGACTTTTCATGTTAATATACTTTCCTTGGGGCTGCAACTTGGTCTACTCAGTCTTTAACTACTGCAGAGTACAAGCCTCTGCATATTTGAGTGAGCTGCTATAAACCCACGTCTGTGCCCACATTTTTTGCTTGCTTTGTATTTTGTTTCTCACAGTGATCCAATGTGTGGGTGACAGTTGGGCTGCTAGAAAACGACATGTTTTTATTCATACCTTACCACTATGTACTTCAAAAAGATTTATCAAATTTAGACTAAAATGCCCTGTAGGAACAAATAGTATATATGACCAAAGGTCTTGGGTGGATGAAGGCACAGCTGGGAGTGGTAACAAAACCTATGGTTTTCCTTCCCCTGACTGCTCTCCCTCCACATGTGAGGTCCCTGGGTCCCCTTAAGCAGGGATGGCTAGCAGAAGGTTGGGACAGAAGCAAGCAGCAAAATCTGGAGGAAGAAGTGGGGGCCCAGAGACTTCAGGAGGAGTGATTAGGGGTTGTGGGGAGAACAGTAGCTGGACTGGGACCCCAAGAGCTTCAGGTTAGCTCTTCAAGGGCCACCAGTTGGACATCCCTGGTCTAGGTCACAGCTGTCTTATTCAGTTACTTTATTTATATGAGATTTCCGTGTTTGTGGTAAGCTCTTCACAGCATTTATGTTCTTCAGTCTAATCTGATGATTGCTGGTTTGTTCTACCCCAGCTTGATGTAGCATATGCTTAAACTGCTCCAAACTGTAAACGTATCATAACTGTTCTTATTTCTATTCATTTTTAACCTACTAAGCAGTAACATTTTAATGATGTAATCCACAAAGGAGGCTAGATAATTACCTTGCTGGGGGTCGTTTGACCCCAGCATTTTTTCCTGCCCAGGGCAGGGGGTCGGACTTGATGATTTGCTCAGGTCCCTTCGTACCCTACCAACTATGAAACTTCTGGCTTGTGCTTAAACCATTTTGCCTATGAGAACTGGTTTCTGGAGTTGGTGCCACTGAAATTCATATGTGGCAATTTCCATATGTTTCTGGCACTGAATTGTTAGGCTTTACTGGAGAATTACTAGTCACTGTTTAGGGACAGGGTAATGGTACACACTGATTGTGCTTATATGATTTGTCAGGTTCTAGGCATTTAATAGAAGTGTTGCCCTGGGGGGTAAGGCCAACTTTCAGGATCTCGATATTGCACTGTTAGACAGGAGGGTGTGACACAATTGCACATATACAAAACACACACAAATCAATTAGGTGCGCGCGCACACACACACACACACACACACACTCTACCAGCTAGGTTACATACACATTCAAACCAGCCTAGGCACATGCATACTTATTACCAATTCAAGCACATACACTATACACCCCAAAAGTTAGACACAGATCACTAATTCGTATATCATGCACACAATGCCATATATATGTATAAACACACACACAC